ACGGAAACGGTCGACGATGCGGAGGTGTGGGACGCGGCGGCCAGATCTGCATGCCGATAAATACGGAAACGCTCGACGACGTACCTAATACAAGAGTATATTTGTATACAAAGCCTATCCAAGCGTGGATTTGTATACAAATGCTCTCGGTTGGTCGATTTGTATACATATCCACGCCAAAGCGGCGCAGCGGCCGGATTCGCACGACCAGAAATCCTTGGTGAGACTTCAAGTGAGAATTTGTTGGGCCCATGCTCCCGATGTAGTGAAAGCACTTGTTAGAGGAGAGGTGGACCACCCAACTTGCACGAGACCATGGCCGAGCGACGGCCAAAAGTGGAGGCTGAAGATGAGCCATCCCCACAATTGCATATCCGAGCACTCACTGAGGCTAACGATGCCAACACCATCTTCCCACAAGTAGCAAAGGGATTGGAAAGCAACACAGCCTTTCAAGAGTCAGTTAACAAGCTTCTAAGCACTTTCGGACTTCACTACAGCAACAGATGCATTGTGAATCTGAGCCAGGAAATCCAACAAAAAAACTCAAAAACCAGAATTCAGTGGTACTGTATACCTGGTGCCAGTGCGGAGGCTCAGAACATGTGTAAGCATATGAACGACATAAAAGATGCCATGGGAAAGGGGGTGTGGACCTGGACACGCGTCCTTATCTTTGCATGTAATCTGATCCAAGCTGGAGCCGTAAATCAGGAGAGTGTGAAACCTCTATTACAGAGTTTGATCGAACTCATGCAGAAAGAAAAGGAGGTTGCACAAAGGCAGGCTGTGCCAAGGCCGAGGGCGAGAGGTCAAAAGAGACGGAAGGACGAGGACGAGGGCATGAGACAAAAGTTGGAGGACTCAAGACGAGAAACAGCAGAACTGAAAGCGGAACACGCCGCTCTAACAGAAGCATATGTGATTTCCAATGGAGTGACCCAACATTTGATCTGCGACTTGTATGCGTGGAAGACTACTGGTGAACTTCAGGGCCTCAAGTACCGAGATGCATACAAGGAGAGGGTGGCAATGTTTTCCTCAGGTGATAAGCCCTATCCCACCAGCTTGCTTGCATATGCATTCTGGTTGTACGTCTTGGATTTGTAAAGTGGGTGTTTCTTATTTACAGTTTTCGTCGAGAGTGTCGCCTGAGATATGTGACGCTTGAAGATCTGAACGTGCGTTTAAACCCCCCTGAAAATCCTCAGAAGGTACTGTATGTTCTAATCATGAGCATCACTTGTTACCGACTGGAAGAGTGGCTAGTACTGTCCTAAGCGTGCCCCGTTAACATACGGTATGAGACCTCCATCAAAAGGCCCATCTTTGAGCTTCCCTGAAGCGCGATTGCACTCTTTGCAATGTACCTGCGTCGCTTGGATTTGGGCTGGAGGTCTTTGGCATGGCATAGGAGTATCAGTACTTGTCCACAAAAAGGAACAGTATTCTTCAGTACCCAGTTACTCTGGTCAGGCTCTGCCTACCAAGGACGCTGGGCGGCTGAGGGATAGCCAGTGAACTCTGGTATTATTGCTATTTATCGCCTTTTCTTGTAATCCCCGTTACATAATAGGGGCGACAGTTTGGGCGAAAATGGTAATAAGCATGTTGCTGGGGTTTTCAAAACCATTGACAGCAGTAGCTGTGTATGCAGGTATAACCCAGAAATCGGTGCCTCCTCAAATCACTGCGGGGCCAGCAAATGAGGAGGAACAGGTATGTAAAGAATTTGATCTTGCAATGTAGTCCGGAATATCTTGAAGCACACCGATTGGAGATGAAGGTACTTCAGTGATAACCACCTGCTGATAATTGATTTCTATCTCCACAGGATGCATCTTGAACGTGTGAATGATTGCGTGCCAGGTTGTAGGCATTGGGATGCATACAAGTTTTGGAAAAGGTCCTGGGATAACACGTTTTGGGAGGAAAAGCAGGTGGATTAAGGGAGTTCCAGTCATGATAAGGCAAATGCTAAGGTAGTGCTGTGAGTATTGAATTTGATTGAATTACACAAACACACAAACTTACATATTTCCACGTCAATTAGGGGTGGCACGCATTGTGGTCCAGTCATGACATGGCAAATGCGCAAAGTAGTGCTGTGAGTATTGAATTTGATTGAATCACACAAGCATACAAACATACATCTTTCCACGTCAATGAGGGGTGGCATGCATTGTGGTGCAGTGAAGATAAGGCAGATGCATGGGGTAGTGCTGTGAGTGTTAAATTTGATTGAATTACACAAACATACAAACTTACATATTTCCACGTGTACTAGGGGGTGGCATGCATTGTGGTCCAGCCCATCATAAGTCAAATGCGTAAGGTAGTGCTTTGAGTATTGGATTTGATTGAATCACATGGGTTTCTGAGGGTTTTTGAGAGTCGAGGCCGCGCGCCGGCGGCGAGGAATTTGGCCACGGGTATTGAAAAATTGTGCGCCAAAACGGCACCAAGAGTCCCAATGTCGTGAGGGACACTATCGTGCCAGCCTCTCGAAGCATGGGAACGGATGGCATAGTCTCTTTATATGCGGCCTATGCGCCCATAGTATCTTTGAGAGCATCCGATGTCATTCAGAGCTTCCATTGAAGCAGTAACGCTCAATCGCATTCTTGAAGAGCCCAAAGTTTGGAGGCAATCTGATAACGTCCTCTACGACTGCAAAATCATCCTTGTCCTCCGTAAAAAAGGGGTAACCAACCACAGCAGCCGGGACTCTACACCAAGCTACTTCACACCCTCTTGCCGGCCAAAGCCTTTGTAGACTGTCTTTGATGCACCACAACCTATAATCTCGCTGCTGCAAACGAAACGCCCTGATGGATCCTTCCACACAGCATGCTGCATGTGAGCTCGTACTTGTGCGTCAGAAATTCCAAAAAATACGCGCATCCCTAAAGCAGGGGCAACAATGCTGCCGGCTTTAGATGTGTTTTCCGGGATTGGTGGATTTGCAAGGGCACTCCAAGGGATTGCAACGGTCAAGAAATTCTGTGACATTGATCCGTCCGCTCGGGCATGTATACGGCGAAACATGGATAGGGGGCTGCTCGAGGAGGCAGAGATTGAGACAGACATCAGGAACCTCGAGGGGTCAAAAGACGTTGAAGTGATCGCTGCAGGGATCCCGTGCCTCGGTTTCTCGCCGCTAGGGCTAAAGGCAGGTTTTGAGCATATCCAAACGAAGCTATTCTACGAGCTTCTCAGGGTCATTGACGAGTGTGATCCCCAGCTCATATTTCTCGAGAACGTGCCAAACATTGTCCTCCACGGCATGCACACGGTGGTCGATGAATTGCACGAGAGGAGGGGGTATGATCTGTCCTGGGTCCTTCTGCCCGCTTATGCAGTTGGGGCATACCACACCCGGCTCCGGTGGTTCTGCCTGGCCAAAAAACCGAATCTCAAGCTGACTTGGGACAATCTGTCCTTCGTACCACACTGCTTTGACACCAAGGACCCGCCGCCCAGGATGATTGGGAGAGACGATCCGGGGTGGCTTGAGAGGGCAAAGAGATGCTTTCTTTTGGGGAACAGCATCGTGCCTTGCGCAGCCCGTCTCGCCTTCTTTCTGCTGGCAAGTGGTTTCAAGCAGGGAGATATTGCTGCACCGACCCTGGTCATGGGGGAACCAGGCCCGGCCCTACGCACGGTGGTGGATGAGACAGCCCCTGGCTTTGTCTTTCCCCGGTGGGGAGGAGTCGACTCGAAAAGTGTCTACAGCATCCCGGTGATGCACTTTAGGAGGCCCGAGCTGCAGTTGCAACTGTTCCAAAGGCCGCAGCTCGAGGTGCTTCTTACAGAAAAGGTCACGTCTCCCGTCATTTATTCGCAATTGCTGCGATTGTGGAGCACCCCTCGTGCCGGTTGCACTGGAAGCAGTCGCATCCTTACTGAGAGGAGCAGCCGAGATCTCCCGACGCAGGTCAAGTTTGAGGTGGGAACTCCGGAACATGAGAGAAAGGGCCAGCTGAATCCAGATTGGGTTGAAGAGGTTCTGATGGGTTATCCAAGAGGTTGGACTTGCTATAAATGACTGTGCGTGCGTTACGGGTCGTGCAGTTCTTCTTTGCAGTGAATCAATGGATGCGGTTTCAACTCAGATCAACAGGGCCAAGAGAGTGCTGCAGGTCAACATAGCACCCAGGTGCATCAACAAAATCGGCCCCGCTGACTTTGCAGCCAAGCTCCGAAAGGTTGCGGAGGAGGCAAAGGGGCTAAGGTCTGCAGGGACGGTCGACCGGGTGGTTGTGATCGTGGATGGAGCAGGCGCAAGCTCTTGTGGCTCACAAGCATTGAAGGCCCTCGGCCAGCTGTTCAGCCTCGAAGACTGCAGCCTCTTGGATATCGTGAGCACCATCCTCCTGATCAATGCCGATGACACGCTAAAGGGGGCTTGGGCCGTTGCCAAGCTCATGGAACCTGCAAAGAGGTATGCCCCACTTGTTCGGGTGCTAGAGTGAGCCTACCATAGCTGCATCCAAGCAATCACAAAGGGTGGCGTGGTCACTTCCTCTATCTCGTCCCACCCAAAGCTAGGCACCTGTAGGCTTTCAACCAGGTCAAAGATGGCGTCCTCTTCCGTCCAGTCCATGGGCAATCCTCTCTCATCATAGACTCTGCCATCTGGTGGTGCAGTGCATGTTGACGAGATCTCATGTTCGCTGGGAATCGCTCTGCAGATGGGACAGTCTCGCTTCTTTTTCAGCCATTCCAAGATGCACGATCGGCAGAATGCATGTGAGCAACGCAACATGAACCGCTCTGGGACCTCGATTGCCGTGAAGCATATGGGGCACGTCTCTGCCTCTGCATCAATTTCGAGAGTCAGGGGCTTTTCCTTGGGCCTGTGGTGTTTGCAGTAGGTGAAGTTTCCCGCATGGTTCCGGCACGCTGTTCCTCTCTTCGTAAGGCCCTTGCATAGCATCTCTCATTATGTGTGTACACGCAATTTGTGCGACAGGCATCTCTCGCACGAAGACTATTTTGTAAGCCTCTTTCAGTACAAGCATGACGAGGCCTGGCATGAGCGATGGCAGGAGCTTTGGAACGCCTCCGTACTTACCTGCGAGTGAGACGAATCGAAGGATTATGCGGTCTCTTAATGCAGAGGATGGGGCAGTCTACCGCGAGTATATTAACCGGGATGGTTACGTGATTGTCGAATGGTCGAGAGCGGAGAGCGTAGCCAACCGAGACATGCTGTCTCAATGCATTGCTAAGCAGGCGGGACCATTCTTGAGGCCCTTCATGTCATGAGATTGCCAGACACGGCCACATGCAAGCCCTTCGTTGCCCATCAGGGATTGATACTTAAGGGTTAGCTGCTCACGTCAAACATCATAATCAGAGCACGATGGCGGAGTGCAAGGACTGCAAGAGCTGGCTCGCTACAGATGCCCACAGTGGAGAGCTGTCCTGTGTGGGGTGCGGCCTCGTCCAGCAGGAGAAGCTGACACTTGCAGAGTGCGGCCACCAGGACTTTTTCCATGAAGGAGGGCTGCTGCAAGAAGCATCCCTTGCAGCGGTCAGTTGGCTCACGTCGCCCACCAAAGGCCTCCCAGCACTCTGTCAGCAGACGGTGGAAACGGTGAAGCAGGGTCCCAAGGCAGGCCAAGAGCGGCGAAAGGCTGGGCGGAAGGTGCTGGAAGAGTTTGCCCATATCGAGAGGATTGTCGAGCTCCTCCACCTTCCGTCCAGCGTCGCGAGCACGGCACACTCGTTCCTGACCATCTGTCTGTCAAAGAGGTTCGAGAGGGGTACCACAAGGCAAGCAACCGTCATAGCATGCATCTTTCACGCCTGCCGTGCCCACGGCGCTCCGCGCACTGCTGGCGAGCTCTCCACGGTGTCTGGAGTGCCCTCGAGCAACATCAAACAGGCCTGCAAGAAGACATCTCCCCACCTCACTCAAGCCCATGCTCACAAGGACACGAGGCCAGAGGATCTGATGGCCAGGTGCTGTGCTGCGATCATGAACGATAGGGATCAGAAAGCTGCCAGGAAGCTCTTGCTGGAGTGCAAGAAGCTGTGTGCGGTCAGGGAGCGCCTCACGGTGTTGCAAGGGAAGACGCCAGCAACCGTTGCAGCCGTCATAATCTGGAAGGTTGTTCAGGAGCAGAAACTTCCCATCAAGAAGAGGGATGTCAGTGTTGGTTGTGGAGTAAGCGTAGGCACCCTTGTGAAGGCAGAGCATGAGTATGATGCACAGGCTGCAGAGGTGAAGAGCCCCGTACTTCTTGATCTTAATTTGTGACAAGGCCATCCAAAAATAATATGCACATGTTACATTACCATTCAACGCATGGACAACCAACATGTATTGCTGTTAGCAGCGGGCTGCGTTCTCCTGTACTTTCTATGGTTGAACTGCTCAGAGTCCTTTGTCGATGAGGGTTTCAGGTCGGTCAAACAGACTGCAAAGCGTGCCGGCAATGCAGCCGCTTCAGGGGGGAACACCGTTAAAAACATTGCCAAGAAGGGTGTCAAAGGTGCAACAAAGGCGCTCGGTGGTGGCAAGAAGAAGAGACCACGGGGTGACATGACCGGGCTGACATTCGTTTGCAAGGCTGTCGACTTTGGCAATGTAGGCAGTGCTGGTAAGATGATTGGGCCCATGGCCCCCAACAAAGGAGCCAAGGGAGCCAAAGGAGTCAAAGCTGGTAAGAGTGCGGGGAAGGACCGAAGAGGCCCCCGCAACACTCCAACAACAGGTCTGGTTGCAGAACGGAACCTCAAGCCGTCCAAGAGGAGAGGAACCCGCTAAGCCTTAGCCTCAACCGCTACAAGTAGCTTGAAGAGCTCCTTTGACACCCAAGGACCTGTCTCAGAGCAACACCCTGAAGTACAGAAACCGTATTGGACTGTGTTATCCTTGTAGACAATGTTAATAACCGGCACATGCAACCTGCTATCACTCTTTACTGCTCCATGGATGTAGACTGCCTTGGGCGTCTTCCGGACGGTGACCTCTGTCCGAGGTGGTGCAAACGCCTCGACCTCCCCGTAACGGATCGCCATTGTTGCTTCTTCATCGGTGCAAGGGAAGCCCTGTACCCCAATGCGGCTCATTGGATCACCCGTCAGTAGCAGATGCCCGTCCCCAGAGCTCTGACAAACAGCCCCGGATCCGGGCCAGATTGTCAGGTTCTTGTCTCCAAAGCTGAAGCGTATCTCCAGCTTTGAGGCAGCATCTCTTGCTAGCTCCGTCATGAAGGACGGGAATGGTTCCCCGCCAAGGAGAGGCAGCAGCTTGATGTCCACAAAGGCATCCTTGATCGGCCGGTCAAAGTCTGCAAGTGTCTTGCATGCCATGCTCATCTCATCTGCAACGTGCCCTAAGCGGCGCCATACCCTCGAGAGACAGTCTACAAGGCGGACAAATCTGCCCCCAGTGTGCATCTTGTCCCCTAGGGGGCTGTCTCCGTAGATCTCCTCCATGCAGTAGCCCATGTTGAAGAGCCCCTGCACCTTCTCCTCAAAGAGCCTCCGAGCCTTGACTGCAGCCTCCTCGTGCCTTGCTGAGCATGCTTGGACCCACACGTGAACGGTCTGAACGTCGCCCACCAGGAGCTCAAGCCTGCAGAGATCACGAGCCTTCCTCAGGTCAAAGGCCTCCTGCAGGGCCCATGCAAAGTACCGGAGGGCGCTGCACATGTCGCTGGCATGGTCACCCCTGCTTCCAAGACCCTCAATGCAGTTGTCAACTTGTAGGTCAATCAAGGCTGCCTTGCGGAGCAGGTTGAGAGCTTGTAATCTGGCCATCCTGAGAGTGTGAGAAGAGACGGGCGAACAGAGAGCCTTGTCAACCTTGTCTCAGCATCACACGCCACCAGATGCCAGGAACATCCGCCAATCCATGCCATGACTGCCAGCACATGCCAGCATGTTCCTCACTTAGGTGCTCAGAAGTAATCTCATTTCTCACACACCTCGATGCAGCAACCAGACTTTCTCCTAGAGCCGCTCCGCCCCGCCAGCATCTGTCCTACGGGCTGCGGCAAGGTACGCATCTGCACAGCCATAGGAACGTTCTGCGTGTTGGATCCAGAGCACGCCAGGGCCGGAATCTATGGAGGACTACGACCTGCTGGAGAACCAGGACGGGAGGGAGGTGGGCACCAACGAGACGGTGTACAAGGAATGGAAGAGGAAGCTGTACGGATGGAGGCGCGACCACCCTCTCCCAGAGTATGCCAGCCTTCTGGACAAGATGACACAGTACTTCGAAAGGCACGCGTTCGCTCCAAACAACGAGCTGGAGGTCCGGCTGGGAAAGGTGCTCGAAAGACCAAGGCGCTTTGAGCCAGGGGTGTCCGCAAACATGTTCTACAAGATTGTGGAAGGCCTCCGGAGCTTCCAGTCCTGGGAAAACGAAGCGGTGACAAGGCACACCGACTACATCTGCGGTGAGAAGCGGCTGCGAATGTACGAAGATCCCGGCATGCCCGCTAAGCTAGTGGCCAAACGGTCTCTCGTGTCCCTTGATGTCACCGCCTTGGGTTCCCCCTTCGACTTCCGCTTCTCTATCGCGAAAGAGAAGAACCTTGAAGCGACGCAACAGGACATTGCTTCCATCACCGCCAACGCGAAGCATGTCCGGCACAAGGAGCGCATGACTTTTGCCTACAAAGTGTGGCTCTTTGATTTGACAATCGTCCGGACTCAAGGTGGGGTACCTCTGGCACCGTCCGATGACTGCTTCGAAGACACGTCAGAGGAGAGGAATGGGGGCCGGGTGTACGAGGTGGAGATTGAACTCAGCAACCTTGCAAGCAAGGTGAAGAAGAACTCGTTCAACGCAATGAGGCTGGCAGACTCGACGATCCTAAAGTTCTTTGATCTGATGAACTTTGTTGAAGAGGTAAACATGGAGAGGCTAACATTCCAACCGAGCTCAAAGTAAATCAGGAACACAAAGTCTCGCACAGTCACTAGCGTCCGCCCTGACAACACTGAAAGGGGCTCATCGCAGAGAAAGCGCACCCGTGAGGAGCTTGAGGTTCTGAGGTTGAAAGTCATGCGCTGGAACGGGAGATTGAAAAAGGTCAAACACGAACAGGCAACAAGCACAAAGGCGCAAACGATGGGTATGGAATGCAATCCTGATGCTCAGCCTGACCTGACCTGATGTCATCACTATCTGCTACAAAATTATCCCTTGCATGATGCGACGATAACACGGAGGCGCAGGTGAATCCAACCCCCTCCTATATTTAAAAAAGCAATGTCTCAAATTCTGGAATACTTTTGAAACTTGCGCTCCATCTGCGCATCGTCGCAAGGCTGCTGTCAATTACAAAGACTCTTATCTCATTGGTGGTATGGCTAATCATCACCAACTACTACAAAAGTCATCCCCTGCATGATGCGACGATAACACGGAGGCGCAGGTGATTCCACCCCCCTCCTATAGCGAAAAAAGCGGTGTCTCAAATCTTGAAATACTTTTGAAACTTGTGCTCCATCTGCGCATCGTCGCAAGGCCGCTGTCAATCATAAACACCCCTTGTCTCATGGTGGTATGGTGCGTCATCACGATCTATTACAAAAGTCCTCCCCTACATGATGCGACGATATCACGGAGGCGCAGGCGAATCCAATCCCCTCGTGTATTGAGAAAAGCAGTGTCTCTACCAGGGGCTTCATGTCCGCAAGCTGCCGAATAACAGATACAAGCCCGAGTGGCAAGTATGTCAGGTACGCAGAGGTGATTGGTAGAGGTTCGTACAAGATTGTGCACAGAGGCTTTGACAGAGAGCTGGGGATTGAGGTTGCATGGAGTAAGATTGTACTCAGCAAGTTGGAAGTGAACGAGGAATTCCACGAGCAGATCCAACGGGAGGTTGACCTCCTCAAGATCATAAGATGCAGTAATGTCGTCGAGCTCCTTGATGCATGGTTTGATCCGGAGCGCAATGAGTTCCACATTGTGACAGAGCTCTTTCCCAGCGGAAGTCTGAAGGACTATCTAAAGCGCCATGGCCATATAGCTCTACCTGTTGTGAAAAGGTGGACACGGACCCTGCTGGAGGGTCTTGCGTATCTGCATGCGCAGAACCCGCCAATCGTTCACAGAGATGTCAAGTGCGACAACATCTTCATCAGAGGAGATGTGGGACAAGTCAAACTAGGCCCGGTGACCTTGGCCTGTCGACCCTCAAAAGCAGGTCCTCCATGTCTAGCGTTGTTGGGACACCAGAATTCATGGCCGTGGAGATGTTCAACTCTGACTATGACGAGAGGGTTGATGTCTACTCCCTTGGAACGTGTGTCCTGGAGATGACAACACTGGAATACCCCTTTGCAGAGTGCAAAAACATTGCACAGGTCTACCGCAAAGTGATGGAAAGAAAACCGCCAGACTCTCTCAAGCAGGTTCAAGCCCCCGAGCTGAAGGCCTTTATCACAAGGTGCCTTGCTGGCCGTTCCAGCAGGCCCACAGCCCAGGAGCTCCTGGACGACCCTCTGCTAAGGGATCTGGGGGAACCGCGGCCATCTTGGTCAGAGCATGAGGCAATTCTTGTCAAGCTCGAACCCATGAGAAAGGAATCAAAACCACTGAGACTCTCCTGCTGTTTCTGAGGACCTAAAAGAAGAAGCTGTTGTTGTTCTTGCAAGTCACTTCACGCCCCGCCGTTGCTGCTGTGATGTATGGATTCGAGTAGATGGCGGACTCCCCTACACCTCCTTCTGATTGCCGCAACTTCCTGCCATAGATCGAATGCACGGGCTCTTGCCATTGCCCGCAACTTGCAACCGGTATTGAGGTGGTATCGTACATAGGCTGGAACTCAGAGCGTGGTTGCGTGAGCATCTGAGTGGGCCGTCTGTGTGCATATTCCATCTGACGGACGCCTTGCGACCACGGCCCACCCACGATCGGAGGGGGGCGGTAGCGTCTAGCAGCTTGCCTCCGTTGCAACTCAATCTGGAGTGCTTCGGTGGAGACCCCATCGCAATACCGGCTGATCCCATCCTTGTACATGAGCACTGTCAGTGTGAGCATGTGCATACAGAGCAGCGAAAGTATGAGGATGACGGTGGACCAAGAGATGTCATTCACCATTCTGGCCCTCTTACATGACACTCTTGTGTATTATTTTTTCAACGGTCAACCACCTGAAAGGTGGGGATTTCGGTCGCTCTCTCGTCCACCTTGTCATCTAGCAGCTCCAAAAACGAGCGCTTCCCCGCGCTTGTCCTCTCCTTCTTGGCATTCTCTTGCTCCCACAATGGCGTACGTCCTTGATTGCTCAAGACAGCGGGGCTCTCTGTGACGGCCCCGATGACAAAAGCAAACGCCTGTGCAATCTCCTCCAGCCTTTTCGCACCCGTTATTATGATGCTCCCACTCTTGAACGCCAGAATGGTCGCGCCCGCAAACTTGATGTTGCAGCCGGCAAAATGATCCGGCTCGTAAAGGCCAAAGACGCCGTACCTCTCCATGACAACATCCCTCAGCGCCTCCAAGTTGATGGGTGCGTTGAGACGGAAATCCGTGTTCAGCATCTGGACTTTGGCTGACTGGATCTTGACTAGCTTGTCCACCTGTGTGCAATCAGGACGGAGGGCCCTGATTGTGCGCAGGACAACCTTGAGTGTACAAACGGCCTCCCAGGCACTCCTTGCGCCAGTCAGGTGGAACTTTCCGTTGGCAAACACCTTGCAATTCTTCCGGGTGGTGCCGACCTTCCCAGGGGTGTAGCGGAAAGACACCTGATTGGTAAACTTTGCCTGCTTCGAGGCCGTTGCGATCATCGAGATTGACCCTAAAGCCGGCTCCGCAGCAACTCTGTCCGTGATGGCGGACGCCTGCTGAAGCTTCTTGATGTCGATCCCGGAGTCCGTCTGGAAGATGACTGTCATGGTGGACAGGTCTGGCAGGGTGGCAGGCGGCCCTTCAAGGCCTTTGCGCTGGAGCGTTGCGGCCATTGAGGCCGATGCTGCCCTCACTTCTGCCTTCCACGAATCCACAAAGCTTCTGACAGCCGCTGACCGAGTGTCCAACACGGGCCCATCCATGCCTTGCCTTCCCACGACCTTTTTTCAGAAGCTAACAGTAAGAATGCAAGCGGTCCACTGGCTGATTGCTGCTGCCGCGGTCGTCCTCGTGCTTGTAGCCTTCAAGCGAGCACGCAGGCCTCACGCCAGATATTCCTTCACCTTTTACACCCTCCCAGGATGCAAGTACTGCAGGGAGGCGATGCCTGCATGGGGAGAGTTGCAGAGGGTTTACAGGGGCCCGGCTTTGCTCAAGGAAGTGAACGCATTGCAAGCAAAGCAGGAAGTGAACGAGCTGGGGATAGATGGCTTCCCTGCGTACGTCCTGTTTGACAGCAATACCGGCTATGCGTACAAGTACGAAGGCGCAAGGACAGCTCGCGCACTCTCACAGTTCCTAGCAGAGAAGTCCGCTGAAAAAAGGCTTATGTAAAGTAGAGTCATGACTATCCTGCTTGAAGGGGCTGCATGGGCTGGGTCAGCCATCCTCCTGTACCTCGCTCTCAAGCCTGAGGTGGCCAAGAGCAGGTCAGGGATGTCCTACATCAAGGGGCCCCACGCCCAGGAGTTTATGCTGCTTGTGAATACAGACATAGATCGCCTCCTGGAATGGCTCAGAAGCCACCCTGAGCTGCTAGCTGACCGACGGTGGCAAAGGCTCGTCAAACGCTACAAGACAAAGATGCGCCCAATTGCAGAGGGGGAGGGCGGGGCAGCTTACACTCGAAACAAGTCGGACGTGAGGCTGTGCGTCCCAGAGTCGCTCGAGGAGCGAGACGTCCAGACCGCGTTGTTTGTCGCCCTCCACGAGCTGGCTCACATCGCCAACGTGAGTTGGGGTCACGACCAGAGCTTCTGGGACACCTTCAGGGACCTGCTCCGGCTTGCCGTGCGAGCAAAGATTTACAAGAGACGCAACTACAGGAATGACCCAGCTCGGTATTGTGGCCAAGATATTATGAGCCAACCCCTCGATTGGAAGGTCTCTTAAGCCCCTTGTAGCAGCCAGCGGGTGCCATCAATGCGCTACAGGTGCCATGTGAGCCCGCTCAACGCCACTCTGAGGGCTCACGCCTTGACCAGAGCAACGTAGTACTTCTCCACCTCGAGGAGCGCTGGCTCCGACTTCGACCTTCCGGATGCTGGAGGGCTCTGGAACGCCCTCGTGTTATCCCCGTCTTTCACCACTAAAGTCCGCTTCGTTATGTGTGCAAGGACAAAGAGGAATCCTCTGGTGTCCACTCATGTCCACGAGTTCACTCATCCGTGAGCGACGTCTGCGTCTCCTGCTTCGGTTGTCTCTGGTGCCTTGACTCACATGTTGGTCGTTGGCAGTCCCTCCATCTCCGAAATCTATGGGCTGGTTGTCCGAGTGATTGTGCGTGCCTGGCAATCGACTTGGACCAGCTCCAGAACTTAACCCTGTGACGTGAGGCCCACTGTCTGCGGCTTTCTGCTTTCCTTTCTGAGCACGGGTGCTTCGAGTGGCACCGATGATAAAATTCCGGTAGCCCCTTTTCTCAAGCTGGCGTGCAAGGCCTGCATCATCATACAAGTCCCGAATGTAGTTCACCATGCTTACGTCTGGGTGTAAAGTTGCTCTTCCTTACGTACTTGGCAAGCATCCGGCTCTTTGCAAGCGTTTTTCGCAGGAAAGGTTGAAGCAGAGGTCTTATAACTCCGTACACCCCTCGTTGCAGGCTGGTGTTTGGGTAGCCGGCGTCCACAAAAGACTGCCTGGTATACTTGTTCAGAGTTGCATCAGTGACTGCTGCCATTCTTTATCTGTTTTATATTCAAGATGGATGAAATAAATCCGAGGAAGGGTCCCTCCAAAAGGTGCATTCAGGCCTTGCTTGGGACCAGATTGAAACCGTCACAGTTCCAGGCAATGCGAGAAACCTTCAACTTGATCCTCGAGAAGACCTTTGAGGTTGCACAGGCAGAGGCTCGCCACAGGCATCAGGTAGGAGCCATAAAGATCTTCCCTCAAGACGTCCGAGGGGCGCTCAGAGACCTTGCAATCGGAAGGTGATTGCTTAGGGCCAAGCGCACAGGCAGATGGGCAGCACCTCATGGCCAGCGCAATCTCCCCACGGGTTGTCCGGCTTCTCGAGAGACAGAGGCACAAGACCCCGTACCAGCAGCACCTCGCGAAGCTGGCACCTGGAGGGCGGGGCCTCACGCCCAGCCCGATGCCAAACATTGAAGCAGCCCGGCACGGCCTGCGCTATGAACGAGAGGCTATAGAGAGATTCCAACAGATAACGGGCATTAGGGTCCTTGATGTCGGCCATGTGGTTCACGAGCGCTTCGATTGGCTCTCTTGTGTTCCCGACGGAATCACCGTTGATGGCAGGGTGGCCGAGATAAAGTGCCCATACTACCGCCGGATCGTACCAGGGATCCCCAGCCACTGTGTGAAGCAGCTTCAGATTGCAATGGAGGTCACGGACCTCGACGAGGCTATCCTCGTGCAGTACAAACCAGCCAGTGTCTTTGGAGCCGAGGAGATTATGATTTCGACCCTGGCTCGGGACAGGACTTGGATCCACAGGAACTGGGACAGCCTGCACAAGAAGGTTGGCCGCCGTCGTTTCCGGCCGCGGCCTGATATGGATGACATTTTCGTACCTGTGACCAAAGCACCATGGCATCCAACACATCCTCAAGTAAACCAAAGTCCACACGATGGAGCGATATGGTTGACTCCCCCCCAGGACCCATCGACCCGAAGATCCTAAAGGGGCTACAATACAGCTTTGGGAAGCCCCTGACGGAGGAGGAGTTCAAGGCTCAGCAGGCCAAGGGAGGGGCACGAGTAGCAAAGAGCTTGGACCTGCGGGACATTATGCGCAAAGGTGGTGATTAGGCACGCACGGGCTTACGGTCAAGGCTCTTTTTCTGGCACTCTACTTTCATCAATGGCAGGGGAACCGCCACTCCGTCTCTTTGCAAGGCAGCAGTTTTCGAAGCTCTTTGATCAACCTCCAGAGTCCGGCATGGTCATCAACGCCGAGGTAGGGGTGTACAACGCTGCGGTCAAGGGCTGCAGCAGCCAGTTTGGGGCGAGGGCATGCACTTGGGCCGATCCCCGCTTCAAGAGCAAGTACAAAGAGAAGCTCCGGTCTCTCCTCTTCAACCTCAGAAACCCAAAGAACCCAGCTTTCCTCGATAGAGTGAGATCAAAGGAGATAGGGTGTAGGCACCTCGCTTCCTTGACCCCAGAGGATATGTTCCCGGAAAATTGGGCCAGTCTCAAGGCGAAACTTGCGAAGAAGCACGTCTTTTCTGCCGACCTTCTGGATGACGTCCCCGACAACCCGTTGCACGCTTGCAGCCACTGCAAGTCCAGGAAGATTACTACGTACGAACTCCAGACTCTAGCAGCAGACCAGTCTACCACGACGTACCTGCTCTGTCAATCCTGTTCCCATTGTTGGAAGATTGTCTAACTCTGCAGCTTGTTTATCATATTCCGATGGTTTGCATTTGCTTCATTATGAGCTTGCCTTGCATGGTTCGCCACGTGGTCAACTACCTTTGCCGGAGCACCCGCGTTAGAGGCATTGATTGCGGCATCGAGGGACAGTCTGGCCGCGTTCTTACTTGCCTCCAGAGATGCAATGGATGCCTGGACCGCCTGCTCGTGGTCTCCGTTCTGCAGAGCGTCCTGTGCAATATCATGCATGGCGGTTGCTGCATGCATCTCATCCACTGCCCCAGTCGCACTGCCAACGGCCTTGGACGCGGATATGTGGTCCAAGGCCGTCCGGGCGGCTGTGTTTGCTATGCTCGCTATCTCGATTGCATGCTTTGCACTCTTGCGGGCGCTCTGAACGGCTTGAGAAGCAGCCGCGCGAATGAAGTCCATTGAGTATAGTGCATGTCAATGAAAAATTTCTCAGGCTCTGGGGTTGATAGACTTTCTCATGCAAGGCAGATGGACTGGGCTGGGCTGGTAGAGTTGCGTCGTACGCACAAGCATGGCATGTAGTGAGTGAAGGCTCACCGAACGCGGTGATCTTTGCAACGTCGTCTAACACTTCTTCAGAACACAGTCTGTGGGCACCCACTGCTTCTTAGTCCCCCCATCGTACAATTTGCAGTAGCCTTCCTTGACACATATCGATTGGATTGTCTCTGTATCATCCGGGCTGTAATAAAGATTTGCGAGTAACCGGCCATACTTGTCGAAATCCAATGCATGCAGCCAGATGATTGAGACATTCTCCTTGAGGAGTCTTACAATGTCCTTTTTGATGTAAGTGCCATCCACTTCGAAAACGCCCGGTGCAATCAAGGATAGCATGCGATTCCGGGCTTTGATTGCCCACTCTTGCACACTCTTGTCCCTGCTCTTCATCTCTGGGCTGTCAATGCCCATGACCCGCACGATAATCTTGTGCACGTCATCCTTTTGAAAGGGAAACACAACCTTCAGTGTATCACAATCGTACAATTCTACTACACGACACCATGTCTTTAGACCAGCCAATGAGAAGAGCTTTGTGCTGCTGTCATACTTGGAAAGGAGGTCTGTTGCCTCCTCTTGATTCATTCTTATGTTTGTGGAAAAAAGCTCAGGAGAACACTTCTGCCAGGGAGCCGACTAAAAACACTTATTCTGATAAGTCAACTCAACACCGTATCGTTCGAAGACGCGTCTTGCTTTCTTTAACTGCTCTTTTTCATCAACATCTTCATCCAGAATCAAATGAACTCTCTTTTTGTGCTGAGGGAACGACTCTGCATAACCAAGCACCTGTCCTAGTGCGTGCAAGTAATTACTGCTTCGTTTCACCTCTATGATCTTACTCTGAGTGAGCACATCAACCCTACCGTATTCACAGGCTACCTCTACCTGGCCTCCCTCCTTTTCAGCGAGTTGGTCTCTGATGGTTGCCTCTATCGTGTCAGCCCCTTTTCGTGGTTGTAGATGTGCCAAGGAATACTTGTAGTCCTCACTAATCTGTTGAATGAGCCCACGGGCTTGCTCAATCCATTTGCTGACCTTGACCTCAAAGTCAGCACTTATCCACATTGCCAGATGCGTGGCAAGTCTTGGGTGTACAAACGTTCCTCTCTGGCAATTTGGCCCACTTCTAATAGAATCAATCAAGGCTACATCAGGTAGCTCCTCTGACAGGATTGCAAAACAGTCTTTGAATGCTTGAGATGAGTTGTAATGGTTCCAGGTCTTTCCTGCAGAGTGGCACATCTGCGTTGCTGACACGTACCCATCACTCAGACGCATCTCTGTGATCATGTTCCCATCATCCCCCCTCAAAGCATCCACAAACCCCCTTGCTTGCTCCATTTCTTCGTCGGTAGGTGCTGCCGCTTCCTTGGAGGCTTGGAAGCAAGCCATGTCCACCTCTCGAAGGTCATCTTCAAACTTCCAGATGAAGCCATCTCTCAGGGCAAGCTTGGAGGCAGCCAGTGCCAAGCTGGCTGCAGGAACACCTGTAGCCGTCGCGGCATCCCGCTTTGTCGAGTACCTGGTGACGGAGCCGTTCGACGAGATTGCAAGCAGGGGTCTTGACGGTGGCGCCATCTTGTTGAGCTTGTGGGATTGACTTGTTTGCAAGGACTTCCTTTTCTGAAGGACGTGCTTGTGAAAGGATCCAACTTTATACTCATCCAATTGGTGCTGGACCTTTCGTGATGTGCCTGGCAGCACTTGGCGGAAAGTGTGTGACAAATCACAGGACCGCGCCAGAATGCGCCAACTGCTGTCCCATGGCGCCACCATCAAAGCCATATAAAAGGCATTTCTGGGGCTGCTAATCTTCATTTCAAGGGTAGCACTTTGAATGTCGAGCAAGCACTTGGGGTAAGACCAGAGGTCAAAAGTTTCAGTTTTCCTCCAAGGGACCTTGCATACATACATATCAGCAAGCCTCCGGAAAAGTCAGAACTCTCATACTACAATCTGTTATACTTTTTTTCTTCTCCAGGGAAGGAATTATAACAGATTAGCAGTACAGAGTTTCTCATTGGGTTCCCAAGTGCCAATATGTATGTAAGTAAGGACATACCTCCAAAAGATGCTAATATTGTAATTGACTTTTTGGAGAAGAGAATATAACAGATTAGTAGTACAGAGTTTTCTCTTTGGTTTCCAATTGCTGATATGTATGTATGTAAGGACATACCTCCAAAAGATGCTAATATTGTAATTGACTTTTTGGAGAAGAAAATATAACAGATTAGTAGTACAGAGTTTTCTCTTTGGTTTCCAATTGCTGATATGTATGTATGTAAGGTCATACCCAGAAATATGCCGCAAAGAATCCCCTCAGTAAAACCCAAGCAAGGCGAAACGCCCCTTCTGGTAGCTCAGCTCAGCGAATTCCGGCGAGCCAGAGCAGACCGCAGCTCAGCCTGGAGATTATCCCTGCACTTGGAGACTGACAGCGTATGCACCCACCTTGCCAGCTCATCTGCATGCACCTCGGCAGCCACGCGGACCCTGTCCGAACAAAAGTAGCGTTTGATTTCAACATGCCGGACAGATACGGGGCTTCCACTCTCAATGAGCGCTGTGTTCATCGCTTTGAGCGTCCGCACGGCCCAAGAGACCCGTTCCGGCTCCTCGCTCAAAAGCTTTTTCGCATCACTGTACGAACTGAAGGGCGCTTTTGAGCGCAGGATCGAAGTTAACACCCGGCCATCTGCCGAATCAAAGAGTGCAGCTACAGGGTCGGGCAGTGGAAGGGACGACGTCCGTTTGAGGGGCGGAGGCGGGGGCGCAGGGGGTTGAGCAGCTACCGGCTGCTTGCGTATCTCCTCATGCAATTTGGCAATCTGGGCCTCACACGCGAAGACTTTCTCTGCGAGTTTCTTCACTTCAAGGCGCAGATCTGCCACCTCTTGACGAGGTCTGTGAATCCTGCAGAATGCGTTCTGACCGCATTTTACGCGACAGGGCCGTGGCTTTCTCGTGAGCCTGTCAACCACCTGGTACGGGCAGCCCGCCATGTCATCTACACGTCTTTTGTGAGGGCCTGGATACGCTCAAAGAATGAGAATTGAACCCCAAAGAGCATTAGTTCGAAAAACATCGATGCGACTGTACCCTCATGGTCTTTTTCGGTGTCCGGACTGTATACGACTTCCAACGATGCAATTAGAACAAAGAGAAAGAGTTGTAAAAGAGTCACAACAACTCTGGCGAGGTCAGTGTGCAACGAGGTCTTTGCAAGGCGTTTGAACATGCGATCACACGCAAAATCTAACACAACCCCCATTCCAGTGCCTGCAGCAGCATGAAGCAAGCAGTTGCCAAAAAAGGACACTCCACCCATGATTGTTTGTAGTTGCTGTAGCTTTTTTACAGTCACCCGGAGATCATGTGCTCGAGAAGAGTCTCGCGCAACGAATCCAGGTTTGCAGGCTTTACCAAGACGCCAGCCATTCCAACTTCCAAGCACCGGTCAAACGTTGCAGATCTCTGGTCAGCGGTCAGGGCAACAACGGTCCGTGGCCTCTTCGATTCTGGCAAGGCTGCAATCCTCCTCATAGTCTCAAAGCCGTCCCAGCCAGGCATGGTGAGATCCAAGAAGCAAAAAACGAATCTTGTCAACTCCATTTCCAGCAGCCGCAAGCAGGCCTCCCCGGATTCTACTGTCTTTGGAGAGCACCCCAGCTTGCGGAGCATCTTGGCAGTTACAAGACGGTTCACACTGTTGTCGTCCACAACAAGCACACGCATGCCTTTGAGGCTGCCTACAGACTCACTCCGCTTGATGATGGTCCGTTCCACGTCATGACTTACCCGCCCAAGGTGGATATAGAACGATGCAGTTGTTCCTAGCCCAATACCCGGGCTTTGGAGCCACACGGCTCCTCCCATGAGGCGTGCCAGGTGTCTGCAGATCGAGAGACCCAGTCCCATCCCTCCAGCTTTGCGCCCAGAATCCAGCTGTCGGAATCGCTCACAGAGGCTGCCTATTGCTGAAGCTTCGACCCCAATGCCATCATCAACCACGTCCACTCGAATCCGGTGTGTCGTACTGGTGGGTGGAGCCTCCTCCTCCCAGACTCGAAATGTTATCGTCGACTTTGTAAACTTGAGTGCATTGTTCAGGAGATTCAAACACATCTGCATCGTCCGCTTTGCATCTCCGTCCACATATTGAGGCAAGTTATTGGCTTCTACAGTGAATCTGTATCCAGCCTCCCTTGCCATGGGCTCTACCATGCGAGATGCCTCACGAACCAGGTTCGTCAGATCAAACGGTGCCGTTCGAAGCTGAAAGTCCCCTCGATTGATCCGTGAAACATCCAGAACGTCGTCGATAAGAACGGAAAGGAGTCCTGCACTCGTGGAGATGGTATTGACCATCTCCTGGTCCCCTCTCGAAAGCGAGTTGCTGTGCTGCAGCACCGATGCTATGGCCAAGACGGCATGGAGAGGGGTCCGCATCTCGTGGCTCACCACCGCAAAAAACTCTTCGCGTGCTTTGATCCCCGTCTCAGCTGCCAAGCGCGCCTCCTTGAGCTCACGGTTCTGGGCCAGCAGATCGCGCAGGATGTGAGCGTGAGAGATTGCAACGCTGATCTGACTGGTTGCAATCTCCAAGACCTCCCAATCGTAATCGGTCCAGTTGGAGTCCTTGGCGAGTGCAAGGATGTACTTCTGTGGTAATTGCTGCATTTCGCCCTGGAATGTAAGCTGAGGCAACACCAGAGATACCGCATAAGCTCCATGGCGGTGGCCAGATCCAAGCAGGCACGTCCTCGGATCCAGGGGAACTGGTCCCTGAGATGAGATGGTTGTTTGCACCTCGTCCAAGCCGATCGGAATGACAGTACGGCTCCCCTTCAGTGAACCAACGGCACTCACCACATGCATAGCGTCGGGATGTGGACCAGTCGACCAGACAGCACAATCAGTCAGGTTCAAGACCTTGGAAAGCTCCACAATTGTAGTCTCCAAGATGGTCATGGTGTCCAGAGACGAGTAGATGCCCACTGAGAGCATGCGCACACTGTGTGTAGCAGCATATTTGCGCCTTAGCAATCCGACCTCTTGATCCAACTCATCTGCTTTCAACTTCAAGTAATGCTCTCGTTCTCGCAATCGCAAGAAGCGAGGAATCTCCCAGAACAGGAATACTGTCGTAACACCAGAAACCAGTGCCGTGAGACATTTGGCTAGGGTACTACGTGCCACAGACGAATAAGTATCCATGAGGATCAACTGGCGGGCTGATAGCAGGTGTGTGCAGCCACAGAACAGAATAAAGAGCACGAATTGCACGAGTGTCCCTTTCTGAGGAAGCTCCTTGAACTTGAGGCCAAAGTATATGAGCTCGATAGGGATGGAAAAGTAGGCCACCGAAATGATGGTGTCTGCCCACGCTTGGAGTTGCCCAAGGCTGTGGGAATACGTCCACATTCTACCGAGGCACGCACATTGAACCATGCTTGAACCATGCAGTATGAGTAGGTGTTTTGTCTGAGCAACTGGACGCGAAGCCACACTGGCCCCAAACACTGGCCCCTAAACTGGCCCCCAAATGCATGGCATGTAACCAAAGTTGAAAGAATATAACCATGCGGCTCATGTGGGGCAGCACCCTGTAACCATTCGTACTCCTTTCAAAACACCCATGACACACAGTGTAACCATGGCTATAACCTTAGACCCGCTTTGTAACCAGATTAATTTCGGCCGAAATTAATCTGGCCATCTCGCTTTTCATGACAAACGTTGTGCCCGTTCTAGCAATTGAGATGCTAAAACGTCTTTTTCTACTGTAACCTTACACTTCCTGGTTATGCCAACCTTACTAATTTCATAGCAAGGTTACAAAAGTTGACAAAAATTCATATGCTATTTATGTAACAACACGTAACCTTTTAGCAACGATTGTGCAATTGAGATACGAGGGCGCATAATTCGCACGTTGGTGGTTACACTTCCAAGTCTGGGTTGAAAGGTGGTTATGCTACAGTTGGTTGACTCGGTGCCTGATTCGGTCTTGCCCACATCCGTACAAGTCTTACTTTATTATAAGTGCTATTAGCTCTAATAATTAGATTATTACCATTTTCGCCCAAAC